GAAGAGATTCAGCCAGAAGGCAGGCCTCAGTGCGCACGAGAAAACCCACGCGGGGCGCAAAAGGACCATTTGACGCAGCTGTAGAGATATGAAGGCCTGGAGGAAAAACAAAGCCAGAGAAACAGGAGGGAAGAGGCCAAACCTTTGGAATTTTTCTCCCCAGTTTTTTTCCCAACGACTTGTTATGTTTCCCATTTTTTCCATGTCTTCACATCTCTACGCAGGCTTTATGACTCGTGTCTGGGACTTAGTCTTAGCCAACTGAGGCTAAGTTAAACAGAGGCTTAGCTGAGAACATGGAAAGTCACAGTATACTTTTAACACACACCCCCTGCTGTGTACTGCACTGAGATTTTTTTAAAAGAGAGAAAATGGGTATAGATTGGTTTGTTTGTTTTTAAACCTTTCTCTAGAAAATTACTGCAATTTTTAACAAATACTTTTAAACATTCCAAATTTTAAAAAATCGGCAGAAATATTACACAATGATCCCAAAAACGCCACAGCAATGATGCTTCCTGGCCTTTGCCTCTGCAGGAAATGGTGCCCTGTTTGAAAGGCATCGCTCGCTGTGACCATCTGCCAGACACCCGACCACGTGGAAGGGACAGATTAGGCAGCCATTACACAAAAAGGATCCCACACAAAAAGAACATCACACATGGGTGCTGTAATGCAGGTGGAAATTCAGGTAGATCATGACTTGGATCAGCCCAGCCTGATCTGATACCTGAGACAGAAGGAGAAGAGATAATCTGTTCTACATCTGCCTCACCTTGAACTATATCATGTGCTGTGGATTTGCGAGCATCTCCTGGGGCAGGTGTGCCAACTTAGATGAATCTGGAAGCAGCTGGTTCTTCCAGTTCCCAGGTGAATCCATCTGTGAAAATTGCTGATGGGCTGCCACAGTAACAACCTTGTTGTAGTTTTCTGTGTCCTCCTCCCAAGGTTTGGCTTTTTAAGCCTTAACACCAAATGGACTGGCAGTTTTAAAGTGTTGACTAGAAGTTTACACATCAAGGTTGCACGATATCTTGAATTCCAAGGGCTGCTCCTGATATTGGGTTAGGGGCCATGTAAGTGTGTACTTGTATATAAAGTGCCTTGCAGAAGGACTCAACCCCTTTTGACTTTTCCACATTTTGCTGTGTTACAGCATGGAATTCACTAGCTATGTGTGTGAAAGCTGGACAGAGAAGAAAACTTAGAGCAAGAAAATGGACGTGTTTGAAAACATGGCACTGAAAAATGCTGTGTGAATGCCACAGAACAACAGAAAGATGAACAAGGGGGTGCTAGGTGAGATCAAGCCAGTATCTTTGAAAGACAAGACTCCCTGGAGAGGACAGTAATGCTAGGGGAAGTTGAAGGCAGAACAAAAAGAGAAAGGTGGGGTATAAGATGGATTGATTCCATAAAGGAAGCCATGGCTTTGAATTTAGAAGAGGGTCTTCATCATAGGATCACCTTAAGTCAGGGATAAGGTCATAGAATCAGAATCATGGAAGAGCAGAGTTGGCAGGGGCCATGAAGGCCATCGGGTCCGACCCCCTGCTGGTGCAGGACACCAAGTTACACCATCCCCCTCAGATGGCTGTCCAGTTTCTTTTTAAATGCCTCTAGTGTGGGAGAGCCCCCCACCTCTCCAGGCAGCTGGTTCCACTGTCGTTTTGCTCTGACCGTGAGGAGGCTTTTCCTGGTGTCCCGCCTGAATCTAGGTTGTTGCAACTTGAATTGATTCCATGTCCTCCACTCTGGTCTCAGTGAGAAGAGATCTTGACCTTCCTCTTTGTGACAGCCCTTGAGGTACTTCTAGAGGGATAGCATGTCCCCCCTCAGTCTTCCCCTCTCAAGGCTAAACATGCCCAGTTCCCTCAGTCCCTCCTCACAGGGCAGTTTCCAAACCCTGGATCATTTTCCTTGCCCTCCTCTGGCCCCTTTCTAACTTTTCTGCACCTTTCTTAAATCTTGGTGCCCAGATGACACGTAACTTGATGACGCCTAATAACCACCTGGAATTGAAATGAATTTGACATTTTTACTACTTGATACAGACAAGGTACTCAGCATGGTGAAGCTACACAAAAGTTATGTAAAAGCAAACAGATTAGCCCTTGGTGGTTACTTAAGAATTCACCCCCTTTGCTGTGATATGGCTAAATATTTTCTGGTGCAAATAAATGTACCAGAAATCACAAAGTGGAAACATGTGACTGGGCAGAACCCTTCTGTGCTGTGTGGTCTCAGATTAAATATACCTGTTCCTGGAAGAAACCCTGAAATTTGTCAGAAAGTAAATCTGAACAAGCAGCATCATGAGGACCAAGATGCTATCAAACAGTTCCAGGATAATGTTACCCAGAAGCACTAATCAGGGTTGGTTTAAAGAAAAAATAACCCAAACTATGAACATAGCCCAGGTCACTATTAAATTTGTTGTTGTAAAATGGGCAGAATAGGGCTCAACTCTGCCAGGAGCAGACTATGCGCCAAGACGCAGTGAATGGGCGAGGAGGGCATTAGGAGAGGAGCAAGCGAGAAGCCAGGGGTAATGGAAGGAGCTGGAGTGATCTGAAGCTGAGACTGGGAGAAACTGCCCATTTCTCACTAGGATACTCCAGACAACTGTCGATCGGCTTGATACTCCACCAAGCTGGGCTTCATGGAAAGGCGACAAGAAGCTGAAGCAAACCTAAATCAAAGCCTGTCTGAGGATTGCCAAGAGGCGTGTGGGAGGCACAGCAAACATGCGGAAAAACATGGCAATTTTTGGCCTTGCTGCAAAGGACGGTGTGGGGTTGACCTCATGTTGTAGGGATGCTTTTCTTTGGCAGGGACTGCAAAACTGGTCAGAACTGTGGGTGAGATAGAGCCAGGTAGAGAGCAGTTCTGGGAACCCGAATGCCTTCAAACAGCCCAGAGGTGGAGCAGTTTGCCTGCAGCATCTGGGTGTGCAAAACTGCTGGGGCTTTCCTCAAGAAGACTTGCAGCTGCTGTGGCAGCCAAAGGTGCTTCTTCAAGTCTTGACTCGGTGTGTGGACGATGACAAATACTTATACAACCAACCAGCGCCACTTTGGGTTTGTTTACATATTTATTTATGACTCAGCTGTGTGTGCCTGCATGGCACTGACTATCTTGTGCACATCCACTGGGAAAAATGCCAGTTAAAACTTTCAATTCCAGGCAAAATGACATGTGGAAAAGTCAAAGGGTGTGATTGTATTTGTAAGGTATTGTATGTTTGTGCATACATACCAGTGAACCTGATCTAGGAGGGACAGGATGAGGTTCTTCCTGGCCACGTGGGTGTGGGGAGAACTCATGTGGGGAGAATTCAGCCTAGTGAGGCTTGAGCATACTCAGCGCCTAGAGACTGAAGGGGAGGTTGGAAAGTTAGTGGGAAACGGAATGGAACGCTGCAACCTGGATCCCTCAAGGTCAGCACCTCGCACTGCAACATTTCATTGCAATTCCCTTGCACATGCCAATAGCAAATTCAACACTAACAGTGTATTTGGCTCTTTGTGTCGCAAAAATGGCACCGTCCTCATAAAGAAGCAAAGTATCAACAGGCTTGGGGGAACGCCAGAATTTGCAGAAGTACGAAAAGGTAAAATCCTTAAGGAAAAGGGAAAACTTCAAAGCAGCACAGTAGTGATGGAGTGCTAAGTGCTGGAGGATGGGAGGAAGGGACCAGCCAGAACCAGGAACACTCTGCACTGCAACATTTCATTGCAGGCTCCGCGTGTATCTTTGAATTGCTGTTGTTGTGAGCTTCCGGAAGCACTTGGTTGGTTGCCCCTATGAACTTCCCACAGCAGCCTCTTTCCCACTAAAAATCCAGCCACTACGTAGTGGTGGTATCTGGAAAAACGAACAATGGGAACAGTATGGAAAATATGTCTGTTTGCAATTTTATTTTACAAGTCTTGGCATTGTGTTTTTTTCTTTTGTTTGTAATCTGCCCAGAGAATGTTCGTTGTTGGACAGATTGAATATATTAAATGAATTAATAAAATGTTTAACTGGTAATATGGGAAGAGGTCCTGCATACCGATCCTCATGCAGTGGCCAGCCAGCTGTCCCCAAGCAGGACATGAGTACAAGAGCTCCCTCCCACCTATGTTCCCCCGCAGCTGATGTACTACGGGAATATTGCCTCTGATACTTGGAGATATTAAAATTACATCACACTTGTAGCCTGGCTGTCTTCCTCCTTCAAGAAACTCAAGGAAACTTACGAGATTTCCATCTTCACCATTTTATCCCCACAACAGCTCTGTGAGGTAGGTTAGGCTGAGAATGACTGGCCCAAACCTACCAGGTGAGCTTTATGGCCAAGCAGAGACTAGAACTCAGATTTTCCAAGTCCCAGTTCAGCACTGTGAAAACACCACTCCGCTGGCTCTCAATATGAGAGGTAACCTTTCAACAGGGTTCAGACAATGTAGGTTGAATGTGGGTTGTTAAACTAGCTGTTGCAATGTTCTAACCTATCAGGTAGGTTAGAACCTACCTGTGCTAACAAGCCATGGTTTGTTAACCATGTAAAACTCATGTTGGGTTGCCCATCATGCTTTGAAACCTGGGCCAAGTTCAGACATCGCCCACATTCAATCCATATTCAACCCATAACTGTGGGTTATTGCCTTCTCCGAAGCCAGGCGTAACTTATCAGGATCCATAGAGGCCAGTACCCTTGTCCTCTGATCAGAAAAGACTTGCCTGCTAAATCACTGCTGGCTGTGCACAGTTAAATGCATACCAGCCCCCTGCATGGAAGAAAGAAGAAAGTCATGGTAAGATGTTGAAGATCCAAAGATCACCCTTGTGTAAGTCCTCGTTGAGTTTTATCCGACATGGTTAAACCCACAGAGTTCGGCTGCGGTTCCTAGAACGGCAATAAGGGAACGCCTTCCGCTTGATGAGAGAGAGAGAGCGCGCGCGCGCTACGCGGAAGTGAGGTTACGAAAGCGTATCTGAAGCCACTTTCGGTGCCTTTCCTCCCATACTAGCTGGGAACCTGGATTTCGGGAATTCCTCCTCTGGCATCGTCACCAGTTAGAAGCGGCAGCAGGTTTTTTCCTCCCGTTCTCCAGGGCAGGGGATGCTAAGTCGGCAGGGGGAGGTGAGTTTGGAAGGGGAGCAATTCTGCAAGGGGAAGCTGCTGATCGTCCACGGGTGATGGAGGTGCGGAGAGGGCAGAGGGGGGGAAAGAGGTGGCCAGGTGCCGCTGCTGCCTCTGTAATAGTTGCGCAGAAGAGGGTTGCAGTTTGCATGACGTGGCCTCTTCCGTACAGCCAGCAAGGGAGCTGGAGCCCTGTCCTCTGCTTTAGAAACTGGGGAGCAAGAATAAATCTGCTCATTTATGGTCATTGCATCCCAGCACTTAGATAATCCTTCTCCTCATCCGTTCATCCGTACAGCAACCCTGTAAGGTAAATTAGGTTTGCAGTCAGTGACTGGCCCAAGATCTAGTCCACCTCTCTAACCACTACATCATACTGTCTTTCCCTTAGCCTAATTTCAGTGCTGGATGCAGAGGAAGAACATTCCCCTCCTCTGCCAGCTCACTCATTCACCTACCTGCAATTTCAGGTTGCTTGTAGCTAGCAGGTCTAGTGTTTAAATACAGGACAGATTTAGACCACGGTTTTACTTCCCTTGGTGGTCAAATTTATGGAAAACCATAAGCAGAACAAGAAGTCAGTAATTTTACCCTGTTCTCGGGAGAGTGGGAATGGACTGTTTATTAATTTAAATATTTACATGCCACTCTTCTCAACTAACTAAGACCTGGGTTAAGGGTAGCCCTCCAAAAGTTTTGGACTACAACTCTCGTAAGCTCCTGCCAGCATGACCAATGATTGGGGATATGGTAGATGTTGAAAACATCTGGATTAAGAATGCATTTCTGGGGGAAGAGATCTGATGTTTTCAAGACATGGATCTGGAGGAGAGGTTTGCAAAAACCCTGGCCCAACAGAATGATGAACAAGGGGCTCCCAGAGCAAATTAGAATGAACTTTCTCTGGAAGCAAAGATTACAAAACTGAGGATGTCAGTCTTTGGACATACATGGGAAGGTGATGCTCCCTGGTGAAGGCAGTCACTTTTGGGAAAGTCAAGGCAGAATGAGGGGGAGACCAAATATGAGATGGATTGACTCTATGAAGGAAGACAAGTTTACAAGAATTAAGCAGGGCTGTCAAGGCAGGACATGCTGGAGGGCATTCATTCATACAGTGGCTGGAAGGGAGAGAGAACTGGATGGCTTCTCACAACAGCAAAGGTTGTCTGAGGCAGGGTAGCTCTACAAAGCCTCTACTAACTACTTCAAAACCCACACTAACAAAAATTCACCCTGTTTTCCCCCTGGGAACAGCTTTGGGAACTTTTAAAAATCAGCTTATTAATACATAAATTATTACAATTATTAATAATAGTTTATCCTTTGTCATCTTTGGTCTCCATCCCCCAAAGTTGGCTCATATTTCTGGAGCCACCTGGAAAGTATGTTTGTAGATGAAGTGAGATTTGAATGTAAGACTCCCTTGCTCCGTGTACTTTTCTACATGCAGGGATTTATAGTTTTTAAGAAAGGGGGGAAGTCTTGTAAAATGTTTCCCCTCACCTATAGTCTAAAGTGGTACGGTCCACTGTCTACTGTCGCACTGCTGCTACCAGCATTCTCCAACCTGGTACCCTCCATCCTCCCAGGATTTCTGACTGCTGCCCATTCTGGCTGGTGCTGATGGGAGCAAAAGTCCAAAACATCCGGGGGTACCGCTTTGCTCATCTTTGGAAGGTAGGCTAGTAACTAATATCCCCATGCTGCAAATGGGTCTTGATTACGGCTATCTAATATATGCGTTGCAAGTGATGTGTAGTGTGAATTGAAGAATTCCTAGACTCAGTAGGGAAGTGTCACCAAAATTCTTGGTCGCTCCAAAATAAGCTCATTTCGTAAAGCCCTGTGAAGTGGGGGAAGCGAGATATGCCCAGGAGACAACGAACTTCACAAAGAATGCATCAAATATGTACTGAATTTTTTGATTTTCCCTTATTTGCACAGCCCTCCAATTTTCACATGAACTTTGCAGACGGCCACCCAAGAAGCTGGAAACTCTTCCATGTTTGAGGCAAGCCTGGAAAGTGGCAGGCGGCTGAAGGAGGAGGGAGCAGCCGCCCAGCTTCCAGAAATGGTGGGCTCTAAAGCATGGGATGGAATGGAAGGTTCAGCCAAAGCTCCACTGGCGCGACATGTGAGCACCAGTGGAGAGTTACAAGCCGTGGTAACTGCACAGCAGGTGAAACGCGAACCGGAGGAAGGGCTGCAGGAGCGCTGGGAAGCCCAGTGGCAGGCGTTCCTGCGGACGCTGCAGGCCCCGCACTCCAGGTGGGGGGAGGCGTTGGCGTCCGAGGAGCCCCGGCCCTGGGATGACGCGAAGGCCTTCCTGGCCTCCTTCGAGCAGGTGGCGGCCGCCTGCCGGTGGCCCCGGGACAAGTGGGTGGCCCTCCTCCTGCCGGCCCTCAGCGGAGAGGCTGAGCGGGCCTTCCGCAGCCTCAGTGCCCGCGAGAGGGGCGACTATGGCAAGGTGAAGGCGGCTGTCCTGGACAGGGAGGCCGCCCTGAGGGAGAGGCAGCGCCAGCACTTCCGGCAGCTCCGCTACGGGGACGCGGAAGGGCCGAGGGTCGTGTACGGCCAGCTGCGGGAGCTCTGCCGCCAGTGGCTGAAGATCGAGAGACACACGAAAGCCGAGATCCTGGAGCTGCTGGTCCTGGAGCAGTTCCTGAGCATCCTGCCGGCGGCCATGCAGAGCTGCGTCAGGGACCGCCAGCCGGAGACCTGCGCCCAGGCCGTGGCCCTGGCGGAGGACTTCCTGCGGAGGCAGCCCGAGACTGAGAAACCGGAAGAGAAGGTGAGGCAGTCTGATGGCATCTAGTGTTTATGACACAAAGATTGGAACAAGGTAGAGCAACAATGGTATCTCTCTGCCTCTGTTGATGCTTGCTGTTCCAATTCAACTCTGACATGTCTGGTTTACCCTGTTTGCAGATGCTTCCTTTTCATTTTAGACTCCTAAGCTGTGGGTGCAAAACTCCTCTAGATAGAGGAGTTCTGAATTCTGTTTCAGGGAAGCTCTCATGGGCTGCATCCCAGAGGTGGGAGGGGTCACAGGCCAATGGGGAGGGGCCAATATCCCCCAAAAGGCACTGCATGTTTAGCTTAAAGCTCTCACTACCCGCAACCCGGCCTTGCGAGAGCTGCTTCAATTATATAGAATAGGGGGATATCTGAACAAACCCCAGAAAATGCCCCATAATTGGTCCTGGGAAAGGGGTGGGACCTTCTGGTGTACCTTCAGGGGTCAGCTTTGATTCCTAGACCCAAGTTTCTATGCCCCCGATATGTTTACCATCCATGTTCCTGCTCCTCCGTTTGCTAACCCTTTGAGAGGATGAGATATTTAGAAGAGATCAGATTAGCAGACGGAAATGCAGTCAGAACTTACTGTTTCCTCCAGTTTTTTCTGTCCCTTGGAAGTTAGGAGGTTTCCGAACAGTCAGGACTGAAAGAGACTGGCTTCCACATCGTTGTGGGATGTCCTCTGCAGAGAAGCTCACCTGGTGCTCTTTTTTGGTGCCAGGTGTGGACCTTCTTGTTGTCTCAAGCACTTTAGACCTTTTCTTTCAAAAAATAATAAAATAATAATCTATTACTGCACTTGGCGTCTTTGCACTGCGACTAAGTTTCATTTTACTTTTTTTATGCTATTCTGTAGTTTTAAGCTTTTCCAGTTTAATGTGTTATATTTTATGGTTTTAATTGTCCTGAATCATTTTGGGCAAAATAGAAATCGAAAGAAGGACGGGCGGGTGGGCGGATGAAACAAGCTCTTTCTGACAAGACGTAGCTTGGCCGTGGGGCCGATTGAATTGTCCAGGGCTTTACAGCATGATGGTGGCACTGGGGACCCTCGGCCCCTGCGTCTTGCCAGCTCTCCTGCCTCCCCCTTGCAGAGACTAACCTGGATGAGAAGGAGACCTCCACCTTTGGTTCTACCTGTTTGGTTCAGCTGGGTCCTCTGACAAGGGTGCAGGCAGAGGTCGGTGTAGTCCCTGCGGCAGTGCGGCCTGCTCCTGAAGGGTCCTCTCATTGCTCTCGCCAGGTGCCTGGCCGGCCCACGGAGGCGGCTGCAGATCCCTCCGGCTCGGGGCAGGTTCCGCCTCTGGGCGCGTGGACTGGACTCCTTTGCCAGGGTGCGAAGCAGGAGCAGGAAGAGCCCAGAACGCCAAGTAAGGATGCACAGCACTCGTCACCCTGGGTGATTTCTTTTTATCCACGTTTTTTCGCAGAGAAAGAACGACTGTGTGTTGATCGACCTCTAATGTAATCATCATAATGTTGTAATATTAATAACAGTAATATTCGTAACGCCGTAAGAAGAGCTGTGCTGGATTGGATCGAAGTCCATCCAGTCTGGCACTCTGTCCATACAGCAGCCAACCAGCTGCCCCCCTGCGAAGCCCTGAGCAGGGGCAACACCTGTGTTTGGCCCACGAGCTGCAGCAACTGCCCCGATGCTGGAGGGGGCACAAATGCTCCCATGGACTCCGTCCCTCCAGCATTTGTGGACTTCTTCTCGGGCTTGGTCCTCGCTTAGAAGGCGAGCCAAACAGAGAGGAAGTCCACGCCTGCTCACGGAGCAAAGGTGGCACGCCAGGGAACCTTCTTCCGTGTCACGTGCAACAGCACAAGCAATGGGCCGCTTGTGCAGCATGAGGCTTGGTGCCTGGCAAGTGCCATGTGAGCTTTGGGCGTGCTCTCTGGAAACCCAGACACGTGGCCACACGGAGTGCGGGGGAGTCTGGGGAGCCGAGCCCTAGGAATCCGACAGAGTCCCATCCCAGAATCCCATTCCTCACACATCTCCCACTGCAGTGAGGAGCATGCAAGGACATACGAACCTGTTCTGTCTTTTACGTACAACCTGAGCCAAAGAGACACAAAACGTTGCTAGGTGGATGCTCCTTCACTCCAGGTAACAGAATTGAAGCTATCAATCATATCAGTTGTTGGAGGTCATGAAATCCTACTGTTGGAAGAGACCTCATGTTTACCTGGTCCAGGCTTTGCCAGTGCAGGAAATCAGTCATTCAGCCTCTTCATCAGAACCTCTTAACAAAGGAGATCCATCCATCTCCTGAGATGGTATAGTCTTTCATTGAGAACTTGTACTGTCAGGAAGTTCTTCCCAATTTCAAGTCAAAATCTTCTGTCCTGTAACTGGAAACCTCTGATTTTACAGAATCAGAGTAGAAGAGTGTTGTGGGGCGATTTTACAGACGAGACCAGAGACTGGTTGGAATTACCGAGAGATTTATTTACCTGCCGGCAGGGACCATGCACTCATGAGAGTGTGGTACCGGGCAGACGAATGCAGCTAATTTTATACTCTTTTACAGCTATGCAGGTGCATGAATGACAGCGGACAATGGGGAACCCCACTGAGTTACATTTGCACATTTTGCACGTTTTCCCATGCTAAGGCAAGCAAGCGAGGGTACAAGGGCGTGACGCTGGCGGTTATGCTTGAGCGTAGCCTGCTTTGTTTTCATCCTTGCGTAGCGTGCACATTCGTTGCAGGTTCCTGTTCTTGTTCATGCGAACAGGACACCCTGATCATGCTTTCTTTTACCCGTGACGAGCCATGCCCTGGCTGCATGTTTGATTATAAGGGGGGTTACCACAAAGAGTTAGAAACATAGCAACATAGAAAACAGAGCAAGTCAGAAGGGGTCTCCCAGGCCATCTAATCTGACCTCCGGCACCAGCCGGCTCCGCTTACGACATGCCCACCATGTGGACGTCCAGCCTATCCTTGAACACCTGCACTGATGGGGCCTCACCCACCTCCATGGAAGCCCACTCCACACCCTCGGGGTCCTGACTGTCAGGAAGTGCTTCCTGGCATCCAAATGGAACCTTGGAGTTGGAAGGGGCCAGAAGGCCATCAGAAGGCTCAGTGCAGGACTCCAAGCTAAACCATCCCTGACTTATGGATGTCCAGTTGCCCCTTGAATGCCTCTAGTGTGGGAGAGCCCACACTCTCCCTAGGAACTAGGTCATACTGTTCTTAACGTTCAGGAAATCTTTCCTGATGTCCAGCTGGAATCTGGCTTCCTGCAGCTTGAGCCTATCATTCCAATCCAATCCAATCCAATCCAATCCAATCCAATCCAATCCATTCCATTCAAAAATCTGTTCCTCTGTTAACTCTGTTGCTTCACTGTTACTTAATTCTGTTCAAACAATTACCTAAGAGAAACACAGATCTGATCCTTTGTTTTACTGCTGCAGGTAATGGGCGGCCACGGCAGAAAGAGATGGCTCCCATTCACCAGCAAGGTGTTAAGTCCGCAGAGCTGAATGGCACATCTCTGGGAAGGAACAAGGATTTCCAGCCTAATGAAAAGGAAGCAACATTCGGGTGCCAGCCAGAGCCGGAGATCGACCAAATGAACAGCTGTAGGAAAGGTGTGGATAACTCTGCTTTCCCTGCCAAGGGGAATGCAAAGCAGAGCAGATCCGCAGAGCAGCAAAGCGTCCAGCTCAGGGAGGCGCAGAATGCAGCTCCTGAGCATGGACAAAACTACGGGTGCAGCTCAGATCTTATAAAAGACCAGGGTGGCTACACTGGAGAGAAACTGCACACATCCTCCCCCTGTGGGAACAGCTTCAGTCTGGCACAGGAGAGAACCCACGCGGGAGAGAAGAAAAGACACAAGTGCTCCCACTGTGGGAAGACCTTCAGTCGTGGCTCCCTCGTTAAGGAGCATATGAGAATCCACACCGGGGAGTCTCCGTACAGGTGCTCGTACTGCGGCCGTTTCTTTGGCCGATGCTCGGTCTTGCAGGACCACATTAGGACACACACGGGAGAAAGGCCGTACAAGTGCCTGGAGTGCGGCAAGAGCTTCAACCAGAAGCACTACCTGACGGTGCACGAGAGGATGCACACGGGGGAGAACCCGCACAAGTGCAGCCACTGCGGGAAGAACTTCCCCAGGCGGTTCATCCTCGTGAGACACGAGAGGATCCACACGGGCGAGAATCCCTTTGTTTGCTCGGAATGCGGGAAGAGCTTCAACCAGAAGGGAAACCTCGTCACCCACATGCGCCTGCACACGGGAGAAAAGCCGTACAAGTGCGCCCAGTGTGGGAAGAGATTCCGTCAGAAAGCAAGCCTCCGTTCACACGAAAAAACTCACGCCCGCGCAAAAAAGCCCCTTTAGTGCAGGCCGGGTCTCGTGCATACCTGAGACCGCTATCGCCGGTTTAAGGCGATGCGATCGAGCGCAGCTAGCAGGCTGCAGCTGGGTTCAGCGTTGTCACTTGTGCTGAATTACTCCCTTCATCTCAAAACAAAACACGCACATCCTTCTTATCGATTTGGGACCCCGTCCAGTGGTCCCTGGAAGCTGTCTAGAAGGCACTTTCGTCTGAGGTCAAACTCGGGGTTCAGAACACCCACATAAGCAGTGCACAGACGGCTGTGCAGGCGGCAGCTCCGAGGTCGTAAAAGCAACCTCAGAGCTGGAGGTTTGGGGGCGTGGAGGGAGGCTGTGATACGAGGTTGGGGCTTTGGCCTCCTCTCCCAGGAAGCCAGGGATAAACTTTTAGATAACCAAGACTGGCCAGGAAAGCAGGAGATACGATGGCACTCTAGAAGTACCTGAAAAGCTGCCTCGGAGAGGAGAGGACTTGATCATCCCAGAGTGCAGGACACCAACTAACAGACTTAAGTTAAAAGGAACCAGATTTAGACCGGACACCAGGAAGAACTTCCTCACTGTGAGAGCCGTGTGACGTTGGAACTGATTACTTGGGGAAGTTGTGGGCTCTCCCTTGCTGGAGACATTCAAAAAGCATCTGGACAGTCCTCTGAGTGGGATGGTGTGAATTGGTGTCCTGCACTAGCAGGGGGCTGGACCCCATGACTTTCTGACCTTTTCCAATTCTGCTATTCTATGATTCTACCTCTGTTCTCCTTTCGCCCCTAGGAAGCCTTTGAGTTTGGAGGATTACAGGCAGCTTATCTTTCCAAAGATAAATCCTATCTTTATAAATTTCTGAAAATATACCAAATACACCAGCTTCAGTCACAAATAAGAGTCAAATATGGTACATATGATGCAGTGAACTCTTACTTCTGACTGATGTTCTGGACAATGTGAGAACCTAAAGCTGGCTGTCCGAAGAGGCATTCGCCCCTTTGGAGACAAACTTACAAGCCTATACACTGAAGTGAGCCCAGGACCAACGGCTGCTTCCTGTTTCCAGCAGAAATCTGGCTGTGCGGAGTGCTGATTGGCTGGCCCTTGTGTCAGTCAAGGAGCCTCCTCCCTCCTCCCCAAGTACCCAGACGTCTTTAGCAAAACCATCAATGAAAAACAGGATGGGCGGTTTGTTTGCTTCTTTCTTTCAAAGATGCAAATAAATGTGGAAATGGAGAGGGATTCCAGGCACCGGGGGTTGTGGTTCAGAGGACTCTCAGAAGAAGCAAGATTGAAGCAAAGCGGTCAAGGGATGGAAATCAGGCTGATGCCGAGCCAAGAAAATGGTGTTGATGGAAGAGCCGTAGCAGGTGGGGAATGAATGGGAGAAACAACCCCCTGCTGTGGAAGGCATGTGCATCCTCGTGCTGCCTTTGGGTTTTTGAGCGGGTTGGACCAGACACCCTCTGCAGGCCTCTTCCTCCACAGGGCCGCCTGCTCCCTGCCACGATCCCCGGCTGCTCTTGCTTCCCTTTGCTTTTCTCTTCATCGCTTACTGGACAGACAGCGAGCCAGCAAGCGGCGGTGTCTGCTGCCACGGCTGCTGCTGCTGCTGCTTATATTTTTATTCCACCTTTTTTCCTTTCAAGGAACAAAAAACAGCTTACACAATTCTCCTCCTCTTCTCAGGCGTATCCTCTCAACAACAACCCTGTGAGGTGGGATGGGCTGAGAGTCTGTGGCTGGCCCAAAGTCACCCAGGGAACTGCATGGCTGAGTGGGGACTCAAACCCAGGACGCCTGAGTCCCATTTCCCACTACCCTGTGCTGGCTCTTCTCCCCACCACTCTCCTCTGGGCCAGAGAGAGAGAGAGAGGCAGGGAATAAGGGGGAGCAACTCCAGGGGGCCCTTGAGTGGCCCATGCTTGGATGTGGGCCTTAGCAAGAGGCCGGCAGTGCCTGCCTCTAGCCCTGGTCCTTTTTACATGGGCAAGAAGGTTTTTAGGTTGATTGGAACTCCTGTATGGCCTCCAACTCTGCCTTCAGGAAACCTTCCAGGAGGGAAGTGGGTAATTGCAGCATTTGAAATATTTTGGCCTACAACTCCCATCAGCTTGAGTTCGTCTAGCCACTGGCAAGGATAATGGGAGCCGGATGGTCCCTGATGTGGGCATTTCCTTCACTCTGAACCATTTCATCCTACTAATTGGCAGATAATGAATGGAGGTTTGCGATTCCCCGGCAAGCGGAGGCAGCAAGGGGCCGTGAGAATGATATGGTAATTGATCACCATTTCTTTTAATAAACCATTTAACGTAAAAGCAGACACTGTCGCTCTTTTTCGCACACCGTTGCCCTGTTCCAAAGTGCAGTTCTGCAGCAAAAGGAATTCGGAGCCTGTTTTCAGCGGCCATCTTGCTTTAATGCTGGCTAGGCAACTTGTGGTCCTCTGGATATCATTGGAGTGCAGCTCCCATCAGCCCCGCCCAGCACAGGGTGAGGGATAATGGGAGCTGTAGGCAACTGCCCTTCCAGCAAGAGATGAGTGCTAGGAGCCTGGCCATTCTTGAACCCCTGTTGCAAGACTTACTTTTTCCTCCCCTCCTTTTTTTCCTTGTCTTGTTGAAAGTGCAATTCTAGAAGGATAAGACTAATTTTTTTTTTTTTTTTACTGCTGATTGCGAGGAAGCTGCTTTCTTTATTGTAGTTCTATGCAACCCACCAGCCCCAAGGCCCCCCGGGCAGTTCAGAAAGCCAGAACACAATAACCAGTACACAACAGTCATTATAAGATCACAGCAATGCAATTAGTATAAATCCAATAAAACGATCCACCCCACCATGACTGCAGCTAAAGCAATCTAGAGGTACAGTTGTAAACTACAATAAAAATTGAAATAAAAATCTATTAATATTGGCCAAACAAAAAGGTTTCACCTGGCTCTGAAAGACTCTTTGGGGAGCACGTTCCACAAACGGGGTGCCACAACCAAGAAGGCTCTTCCCCTATTAGCCACCTTCCTTGCTTCCTTTGGTGGGGGCTCTCTGAAAAGGACCTCCACAGATGGTCTCAGGGTTCAGGTGGGCACATACGGAAGGAGAGGTATAAAAACACTTCAAATAAATTCCAGCTACATCAGAGGAGACACTGGCACAGTCGTCTTGTGCTTACCCCCTTTGCTGGCTTCGTATCCTTCCCACAAGTCGGGAAGAGAACAGTGGAGAATCTTTCCTGCTCGTGGTGTCCTCCCCATGCAGGGGATCTTGCAGCTCCTAAATCTCCCGGGAAGCCGGTGCAACTCTTAGGGAAGGGCTCCTGCTTGAAGCTCCCCTCCCAGCAGGCAGGGCAGGTGATGGAGCTGGCAATGGGTCACCACAGAGCTGGTGTGGGCTCAGCAGCTTCTTTGCTGCTCCCCGTGATGCATTAGGCACAGGTGTCTGAGAAGGGCCAAGGTTTTTTTCTTTTTCCAGAGGGGCTATCATGTTGATTGCAGCAAAAGCAAGACTGCTGCTTATCCTGGCACCCCCTTTCATAGACAATAATACACTGTGTGCATCCGAGAACCCTCAGGCAGTCCAAGAACCACATTCAGTTTCAAAGAAGCTCTTGGGGATGGATTCCCCTGCGGGGGTGGGCGGTGAGGGAGTGGCAAACAGGGCAGGGCCAGGACATCCATCTATAAGCATCTATTTTTCTCTCGGCAAGAAGCCTGAGAATGTGAACCTTTTACACAGGGTCGGGGGGGGGGGGACTGCATGCCACCTGGGAATGCACCAAAGTATAAGCAGTTGTGGGAAAGGAGCAGGGGCCGGAAGGGGATATGGAGGGCTAGTTTGGGGTTCCTTATTCCTTGCTTTAAGGCATCACAAGACCCCCTGGGGCTTCTCTCTCCATTGTGCCCCCGTGATTTCTCACTCGTGGTAGTTTGCACCATGACATCATCCTAGTTTTCCAGCTATTTCTGTTTTAATAGTTTTCTAGCTATTAATAGTTAATTTATTTAAAACTATTTATTTAAACATTTATTTAAAACTATTTAATAGTTTTCTAGCCATTTAACAGTTTTCCAGCTATTTGTGCTGCTTTTTTTTTTAAGAGCAGGAAAAAAACAGCCACTTTGACCCCCATCATCTATGGACAACATGGTCAACAGTCAGGAATCCTGGGAGTTGTAGTCCAAAACACCTTGCACACACCAGCTTTGGGAAGGTGGCTAGAAGGTGAGTCGATAATCCTAGTTGGTTTTGCTACAACCAATCAACATACCTAAATTATTCCTTAAGGTGCCAAAAGTCTGCCTAAACATGTACAGGATTGCACCTTAAGTGTGTCAAAGGACAATAAGCCCCTGAAGATTCCTGAGAAAAGTGCCTTTTCTGCTGTGGCACCCCAATCATGGAATGAACTTTTGGGCCAGGCTCAACCTAGCGCTCATGCTGTTCACCTTCAGGTGCCCAGTGAAGACTTTCATTTTCTTAGCAATGACTTTATTATCTTAGCAATTGTTAGTTGTTCAGTATCTGTCCTTTCACATCCTTACTGTACTATAAATTTTTGTACTGCTGCTAGGTTTTACTCAGACTTTTACTTCCATTTTATGAGGTCATTCTCAGTTTTTACATTTTAACAGTACATTTTTATGTTGCATTTTATGCTTTGAACTGTCAAGAACAGAGCGGAGAATTTGGGCTATTCTAGAGCAATGCCGAAGGGAAGGAAGGAAGGCACAGGTCTCCGTCATTTGGGAAGCCAGGACTAGTCTGGCAAGGGGTCTGGCCGCCGGGGAAAAGCTTGCCCATCCTCGTTAGCCGGAAGCCCAGAGAAAAGCTGCCAGGACATGCCTGAAAAGGTTAAATCTACCGAGTCCCACTGCAGTTGCTAGCAAGGCCTGGAAATGTTAGAAGGGAAGTGTTGGAAGCGGCTGCGAAACCATTTCCTCCCCCCACCCCCCAATTTAGGAAAGCCCTGCTGGTGGGAAAGTGGCATTTTAAAAAATCTTTATTTTCTCGGGCGGGTTGTGGAGAAAGTGGGCCCGGATCTGCACTAGCCGCGCACCTTGCAAAGCTCTGCATGGGGCGAAGCGCTGCAAAGGCAGCAGGAAAAGGTGCGTGCCGCCCGGCGGGGTGTCGGACGGTGGGGGCTCATTTCCAAAAGAAAGGGGGCGGCGGCGGCGAGGCACACAAAGAAAGGGCTGCAGACGAAGCCAGAGGTTTCCTAAGCAGAGAGCGGGTGGCCGGAGCAAATGTGCCGGATTCACGAGGCGTGGGGAAGGTGCGGGGCGTGAGCGGCCGCGTTTGCAGGGCGGGGGAAGGACCGATCGAAAATCGTTCAGGTGTTCGAAGCCCAAATTGAAAATAAAGTTGAACGCCAGCTCCAGCCGGGGGACCATCGAGCCTCCGAAAGGCGCCGAAGTGAGATTTCGCGTGTCCAAACGCATCCGAATTGGTGGCATCGAAGTAGCAACATTCGGAGGGGACCGAGAGCTTTTGGGGGCTCGGCTTTTAAAAGGGAGGGTGTTGCGGGAGATGTGGCGGATGGGGCAGCAACGTCAACTTTTCTGAACAAGCCAAAATAAGGAAAGTCGAAATAAAACCCTGCTGCCAGGGAGCTTGTGATTGGAACGGATCATACCCCCAAATTCGGCGTAGGTAGGGCCGGGCCGGGTGGCAGAGTACGGACCACCCCCGTCCAGAAGAGTCCAAAGGGCCACCTGGCGAGCGACAGGTGATGAGGGCATCTCCAGTCTTACTCCCGAAGTCACGATGGGACTGTATTAGAGGGAACTTAAAATGCACAAATGCGCGTGTTTAAAGGTCGGGGTGTGTGTGTTTTTTACTTAAAGGACTGGCAAACATTCTAGACTGAAGCCCTCCGGGTGCTTTGGCCGGCAACTCCCAAGATTTCTGGCCTTGACCCTGCTGGCTGGGGTTAATGGGAGTCGAAGTCCACGGCATGATTAGGGATCCCAGGTCCGGGAAGCATGTTCTAACTAACATGTCAGGAACAGAGAAACGGTTGTAAAGCGGAGCAGTCGGGGAGAGAAATATTAGTTATGTGCATCACATGCAGAGTAATACTTGTGGCTGCCTAAAGGCAGGTTCCTAAATAAATACCTCCAAAATGTTTATATTTCAGTTGTGCAGAAGAGGAAAAAATTCTTTGTTCTTAAAATCTGAGGCGGGATGTGGAAACTCTTTCATCCTGAGGGTCAGGAAGCAGGGCCGAAACACCACACGTGTGGATTTTAGCTTAACAGAATGGTCCATGTTGCTTATTTGAAGGAGAGGAAGAGCGGGTAGGTAAAGATCACCTCTGTGCTTCTTTCTCTGAGTTCAGAGGCTTCTGGATTGCACCCCAAAGCAGTTCCTTCTGGTAACTCTGCCGTAGGTGAGATTTTTCAGCCTTTTAAAATGGGGAAAAACTGAAGAAAAATCAAACCACCAAAACATTCATTGCTGGAACAAGGGGCAGGACTTTTCTGGGAAGCGTATAGTCTTAGCTCCACACTTGTGAGTCCTGCCTTGGTAAGCCCTGTTCAGGTCTTCTGCTTGAATAGGAAATTGTTATGTGATAAGGGATACTGGATTGGAGTACATTTCCCAGCATCCCCAACCATTGTTCATGGCAGGAGTGATGGGAGTTGTGTTATGATTCCATTCCATTTATATCTCACCTTTTCCCCTTTGATGAAGAAACCCAGGTGACAGCAAATTGAAGAAAGCTGTTATAGCTTTTCCGATTCATTTACTCCTGACATCACTGTTTTTACTCCTGACATCACTGTTTATGCATTTTTCTTCTCTGTACCTGACCATGTGTGTGCGTCACTGCTAAGTAAGGCTCACACATCATGCATCTAGTGAAGTAGATCACAGTCAACCAATTTGTATGCCATAATAAACCTCTTATCTAACTTTTGGTTTTCGCTGCAACCTACTAACAGTTACTGCTCTATAGATCAGCTCTGGATGCTTTTGAATTGATGCATTTTCCCCTTTGTTGTCAAATAACATTGTGCATATGGTTCTCCACAGAGGACTGGATCACAGCCCCATGAAGCTTACAATCAAGAATGATTCCAAACTTTCATGCTTTTAAATATATGCCAGAGACTTTTTCCAAAAAATATGTCAAAGTTATTTAAATATATGACAACTGCAGCAAGAATTACAGTTGCTTTTATATAGAAATCACCAGAATTCCCAACAATTGAAGAATGGAAAAATAAACTGGCAGAATATGCAGTGATGGCAAAATTAACTAATTATGTAAACAGAAGACTGGTTGAAGAATTTGATGACAAATAGAAATTCTATTCTATTCAGTACAATTAAAGGGATGTAAAAGGAAATTCTTTAAAAAGTAGTTGAGGATCTATAATTGACTTAAAGCAATTGGAACGTTGGTGTACAGAATAATAACTTATTTTCTGAACTCCTATAGATTTCTGAATGACAGAAAGATAAATTTGTGGGTTTGAATGTATTGGTTGTACTTCTTTAAAATCTCTTGGAAACTTTATGTTATGTTATGTTACATACACTTTTCTTCTTTTTGTATTCTGTTTATGTTAAGAAAATTTTTAAAAATTATTCCAAACTTTCACCTATCTTTCTCTCTCCGCCTGTTCAGGAGAAGCTATTTGGCTCACTGGACAGGGTGATAGCCACATCTTGCTGCGGGACAAAGATCCTCAGTCGCCCTTCCAAGATATGTTCTTCGAGGAACCATGAGCATTAAAGCTCGCTGACCCCAGGCGTTGGAACTTGCCCTACATCGGGAACAAGGGACAGGGTTAGACTGTTTGAAGGAAGGAAGCACTGCCACAGCAGCAGCCGTCTTTGCCCCCAGATGGAGGAGCAGGGCAAGGCCGACTCCAGAGTGTGGGACGGGGCTCCAGGGGAAGGGCAGAGACGCCCACAGATGGTCCAGGAGGGGACCGTGAGGACCCTCCCGAGCAAGAACCCCCTGCCGCACATTAAGCAGGACCCAGAGGAGGGGCTGCGGCAGCAGCAGCACTGGGAGGCCCAGTGGCAGGAGTTCCTGAAGAGTGTCCAGAGCCCGGAGCTGGAATCGCAGCCCCCGCTTGCACCGGGGGAAGCGGCCAAAGGTGTCCAGGCCTCGCTCCGAGGAGCAGCCGACGCTGCCCACTGGTCGAGAGGAAGGTGGGTGACCCAGACCCTGCCGGGCCTTGGGGAAGAAGCCCAGAAGGCCTGCCCGAGCTGGGACTCCTTTGCGAAAGTGAAGGAGGAGCTCGCCAGCAGGGGCGCCGGCCTACGTGTGGAGGCACAGCGGCAGCGCTTCCGGCAGTTCTGCTACCAGGAGGCCAAAGGGCCCCGGGAGGTGTGCCACAAGCTCCGGGAGCTGTGCCGGCAGTGGCTGAAGCCGGAGCGGCACTCCAAGGAGCAGATCCTGGAGCTGCTGGTTCTGGAGCAGTTCCTGGTCATCCTGCCCCTGGAGATGCAGAGCTGGGTCCGGGAGAGCAGTCCGGAGAGCTGCAGCCAAGCAGTGGTCCTGGCAGAGGGCTTCCTCCTGGGGCGGCGAGACGGCAAGAAATGGGGACAAAAGGTGAGGTGGTTTTCATCACCAGTTGCCATAATTCTGGCCTCAAGCACATGAGAGTTATTTTGGAGGTTGCTCCCCATTTATTTTCTTTTCGATGACCAGGTGTGGGAACTTATGGGATCCATCCAGGTGTTGCTGGACTTCAGCTCCTAACACCCTTGCCCATCAGCTGTGCTTGCTAGGATTGATGGGACATGGATGTGTTCCCTACCCATTTTCCCCAATAATTTATTATTTTGACTTACAAGAACTCAAAACAGGAACAGGACACCTGTCAAGAGAAATCAAGATCAACGTTTACAGTTCTCCAGCCCATTTTAGCAGGAGATGCCGTTGACCTTGCACACGACTCTTTTGCTGACCGTCAAAGTTTCCCAATGTATCTGCCAGTATATCACAGCTAAAAATAGTTGGCAGAAAAAGGAAGGGAGACCAAAGAAGAGACAGGCTGACTCTACAGAGGAAGTCACTGGTGTAGATACTGAGTGACCCTCCAACAGCCCATCATGTTGTCATTTCTGAAGTGTGGGGTGTTGCTCATGTTCCCTCAACTGCTTCTTTTTCCTTCTTGTTTTCAGTTTACTGACACAGTGAGGTGTGGGGAATAATATTTCCTCAAGTATTAGAAAGGTTTCCCCAGTGGTAGGGTAGGTTACATTATTGACCAGAGAAAGATGCAGGTATGTGAGGAGATGTCCTGTGGAGGAGGGCCATGACCTGTTCTTCCCTGCAGTGGAGGGCAGGTTGCGTTTCCATGGGGCAAAGCTCAAGGAACTAGGCTTCAGGTTGGATGCCAGGAAGTTTTTCCTGACTTTAGGACCCCTAGGATATGGAACAGGCTTCCATGGGAGGTGGTGGAGGCCCCATCAGGGAAGGTCCTCAAGGAAAGATTGGGCAACCACATGAGCGGAGCTGGCTGGAGCTGGGGTCCGACTAGATGGCCCAGGAGACCCCTTCTGACTCTTTTGTTTCTGTGTTTCTATATCAGAAAGGCGTGGTGTGTATGATAAACTGTAGGGCTGTGCATTCACCTCAAAAGGAGCATGCGTCCAAGATGAGGACTCCTGCCTCTGAGATACTGTTTGGATCACCTCGGAGTCCAAGGTGGCTGGGACCTGAGGCAGTCTGAGAAGAAGCGCATTCGCTGGGAGGATTTGGGTCTCGTTTGGCGGCTCAGCAGGCCGGAGTGTTGGAAGTGGGAGTGTTCGTGGGAGTGTTGGAAAACTTGTGTTTGGAAAACTGTGTTGTGATCATGGGAGTGTTGGAAAACTGTTTGAGATGTTTGTTTGCTTTCCCCAAGTTCTGCATTGTAAAAACTGGGCAGACAGGGAAGAGAAAGGCGAGAGAGACCGTGACTGACAGCTCCATCGCTACAGTCACAGAGTGACCTTACCAGGCCTCTCTTCTTCCTTGGGGTATATGCGGAAAGAACAGATCCGAAGTGGTGTCTGTCATTCCGCTACTTTGTGCTAGTTGATTGATGGCTTGATGGCGGCAGCTGCCGCAAGCTCTTTAAACAGACACGACCGTTTGAAGGTTGAGAGCCAGCCTAAAAGTGGCAGAGTTGGCTGAAATGAAACCAGACAATGAAAAGTGAAGAGGAACCCCTCAAAGGATGCCTTCTACAGAAAAGCTCTGCTACTATCAGTCTCTGTTGGGGTGTAGAAAAGATTTGGTAGCACTGCTACAGATGTGATGGCCTGGAGAAAAACTGGAATGAGGAGTTCATGGGGAACAGCAAATAAAAACATCAGGAAAAAACATCGAAGCACAGCGAGTTGGAAGGGGTCTCCTGAGCCATCTAGCCTGACCCCTGACTTCAGCCAGCTCCGCTCATGTAATACCTAAGAAAAGGCTTTTCTTGTTTTGTTTTTCTCCATCTCCCGCATCCCAACTCTGCCTCCAGGCGGGAGCACTATCAGCGCCTGGCTGTGGCCTGATCTCTCCCATTCTGTTATTTCAGGCTCCAGCCCCTTTCCTGGAGGTGCCTGCAAATTCCTCCAAAGCAAACCTGGTTTCTTCGGAGACTCGGAACAAGCAGTTCTGCAAATCAGCCAAGCTGGAGCAGAGCCAGGAAGGGAGCGCCCTAGGTAAGCACGCCTCCAGCTACTGCTTCATGGTTAGGGTGGTACAGCCTCTGGGCCAGCTTGCCTGCTCAAAGCAGCCCACCATGGGCTGCTTAAGCCACAGAGGGCCGCTGTGCATGATGGGTGGAATCTGCATATTCAGTGCCCATCTCTGACTTGCTGTCTCATGCAAACCCAGAGACTGTGATTAGGTGAGGGCTGTTTAACCCACAGTACTCAGGTGTTTCTCGGGCACAGCGAGTCACAGCTGGGCATTGACGGTTCGAATATTCAAAACGGTTCGAATATCACACACCACACCTAGCTAGAAAGGGCTGTTTGATTGTGTGAACCAGGTCACTGATAAACCTCTGCTCCAGAAAATTTTCTCGGCCAAGGGTCCTTTGTTTAGGCATTGCTGTTCTGCAGTTAGGTGCAAAGAGAATAAAAAGGGAGGTTTTACATAGCCATAGTTGGCACCGGTACTTGGTATCACAGGGCAGCTGCTAAGGACCCACTTCTCACTTATCTTTACTCATAGTGGCAACAGGTGTCTGTTCCGAGCCCTATTAAAAATTTCCCACAATGCCCTTCAGTTAGTGTTGTTTAGGAGCATTGTGGGGAATTGAAAGGATATCCAGAACATGCTCCCCAGTGCTGCTAGAAGTGCTGCCTCTTCAGTCAGGAAGCCACCATTTACCCAGGATCCCCTGCAACCAAGAGCCGGTCTTGTAAGCTGACCATAATGTGTGTCTTTGTTATTCAACAACAGTCTAAGCCAGGGGTCCTCAAACTTTTTCGATAAGGGGCCAGTTGAAAGGCGGCACCTACACGCATGGGCATGCACGGCGGTGGCTTGCTCATTCGGAGACCATCTCTGAGCAAGCAAGCCACCACCTCCCTGCCCACGCAGCAAGCACACACGCGGACAGATCCGTCCCGCGGGCTGCAGTTTGAGGACCCATGGTCTAATCCATGGCCCACGATCTTGCTATAGTTTTGTCTGCTTTTCGTAATAACATTTCTGCAGCACTTTAACACGTGCTTAGAAGTGCTTCATGCAGATGGTGTAGCTGAGTAATGAATTAATTAATGTGTCATCTGACTGGCAGACGCCCTTACAACAACAGACCTTTTCTCTCGTCTAGATTTGCCTGAGACTGTGCCTTCAAGGCATCAAACGCATCAGCTTAATAGCCGGAGCACCAGATTAGGAATCCAAGGCCTGCTGGAAGTTCTTAACCTTGGTCTAACTGTATGCAGTGAAGACACGAGGTAGAGCTTGCTCCACAGACAAGTTGGTCACCACAGAGAAGACTTTTTCTCGGCTAGCCCTCATCACGTTATTGTGAGCGGCGGCACCTGGAGAAGAGCCTCTGGAGATGATCTTGGCCATCAGTCAGGAATATGGCAATTGGGTCCACTTGTCTTCCTAGGCTGCAGCCCCACAAATTAAGCCAGACTTAGTATCCCTGCCAATATTGCCAAGGGGCAGGACCAAGCCTGAGAGAGTGGCTTATTATTTATTTATTTTTCGATTTATATCCTGCTTTTTTCCTACAAAGGGCTCAAGGCAGCTTACATCTCCTCCTCCATCTTATCCCCACAACAACAACCCTGTGAGGTAGGTTGGGCTGAGAGTCTGTGACTGGCCCAAAGTCACCCAGTTGGCCCCATGGCTGAGCGGGGACTAGAACCCAGATCGTCTGAGTCCCAGTCCCATGCTCTTAACCACTGCACCACACTGGCTCTCAATACTGGCTTGCCTAAAGCTACCTGGTGAAGTCTGTACAAAAGAATTCAAGCCATTCAAACTAGGCAACAGTACTTGGTTTAAACTACAATAGGTAATATATATATTAAAACTAACGTTTTTTAAAACTGGGTAAATAAACAGGTTTTGACCTGGCATTGAAGTGAGTAAAGAGTTGGTGCCAGACAAGCCTCTCTGGGGAGCATATCCCCCAGATGAGGTGCCACCACTGAGAAGGCCCTTCTAATAACCACCCTCCTCACCCCCTTCAAGGAGGGCTCTCAGAGAAGGACCTCTGCCCATGATCTCAAGGTCCATGCAGTTTTAACATTTGCGGTGGTGTTTCTCCATTTTAAAAAGAAATGTATGGAAAATGTTGCTTTTCAGTTCAGAGAATAATCTATGGCTGAGCCTTGCTTGTCGCTTGATCCTTTTTGTCTCACTGCAGTGGAAGACAGACAGGTGGGAGAGAGCATTCACCACACAGAGAGTTCCAATCAGGTGGAACCACACGATGCCTCGATGAGGATAGGCTTAGTTTTCCAAAATTATGAACAGGGGGCCGTGCGGTTCGGTCAGCAGGGAACAGCCAGGAAGCCAAGGAAGGACCCGGAAAACAGGACGGGTGAAGCTGCTGCCTGCTGGGAAGGCGACTTCCAGGGGAGAGAAACCAAAGCCCAGGACTGTGAGAAACTGAACGCCGGTGAAGCCGGGGCCAGGCCAAGCAGGGGCCTGCTCAAGCACGAGCCGGTCGCTCCGGAGGAGATGCTGCTCAGTTCCTTGGACTGTGGGGAAACGTTCGCTCAGAGCTCCAGCCTCATCCCGCTGGAGCGGAGCCACACGGGGGACCGGCGGTTCAAGTGCTCCGAGTGCGGGAAGAGCTTCAATCAGAAGCGGTACCTCACGGGCCACAAGAGGATTCACAAGGGAGAGACCCCATACAAATGCTCGGACTGCGGGAGGAGCTTCAACCGGAAGTGGAATCTCATTGCGCACAAGCGGATCCACTCGGGAGAGAACCCCTATAAGTGCTCGGATTGCGGGAAGACCTTTAGCCAGAAGGGGAACCTCATGACCCACGTGCGCATCCACACAGGAGAGAAGCCCTACAAGTGTGCGGAGTGTGGGAAACGGTTCAGCCAGCGAGCCGGCCTTACATCACACAGGAAGAGCCATATAAAAATCAACACTGTAGGGAAAGCTACTGTGGGTTACCTGATTTTCTTAAACCTCAGTGAATCCGCACAGGAGGGGAGCCCGGTAGAAGCTTAGGAAAGGGAAGGGAAGCTGTGGGCAAAGCTCCGAAGGTTTTTGTATAAGAGAAAATATAGGAGAAACCCCTTAAAATTTCTGACTGTAATAAAAGCAGGGTGTGGCCATTTATTATTAAGGATGAGAAAGTCCCCAAGAGGTGGGGGAAGATTATCTGATATTTTGATTGGTTGCAGGGCAGCAAAAGACAAGACCCAGTTGGCACAAATAGCAGACGACATGCCAGAATAGTTCCCGGGCAAGGCTGCTTTGGAATGAGGGAAGGAGCAGGTTGTTTTACTCAAAACATGTGTTTTTGTTGGTTGGATTGTTTGTTTGCGTTAAACCCCTTCCTATAGAAGCCCAAATGTTCCATCTTAGACTGGATTGCATCATTCAAAATGCCCTGACATTAAAAACAAGCACTCTCTGAACCTAAGTATCAGGGAGAAGTGTTCAATCTTGGCTTCCTCCCTGCTACTTCATTCTTCTGCGTCCTCTTCCCCACAGCATGATGTGATGCAGTCTAAACAACGGTTTGACCACACAATCTGCTCTTGTTCAGACTGGCTTTTATTCCTGTGAGGAATCAACAAAAAGTGTGTTTATTTGTGCTTTTTGAAAGCCACGTGGTCCTTTTTGGTATCCTGCGGCAACTTTCACCCTGGGGTCCTCATCCTGCAACCACTTGAGTGCATGCCAGCTGCCATGCAGGACATGCAGAGGTAAGTCATGAAAGAGCTTCAGCACACACAGAAACTCAAGTTGGCTCATGTTGTGCGAATTGCTTGAGAAAACTGCGAGCTCCTCCGGGAATGTACAGATTGCCCCGTTGAGCGATCCTGTCCTTGGACCGGATGGATCAGAAAGGCACCCATGGGGCACGAAGGTGAATGGCCCTTGCCTTGATCTGCCCTCAGTAGCTGATATTCAGAAATGAGAAGGATGCCTTCCAACGCAGAGGTTCCACGTGCTATTGCGATAACCCGCTTGGCACCCCGATTCACTTCCGGTGGGGCTTCCAAGGGAGGGAAGACAGGGACCTAGCTAAGCCTGAGTTGCTTTTTGCAGTCGGGTTTGTCGCCTCTCTCTGGGCTCAGCTGCACATTTCATTGAAGAGATGCAGCTGATCCTGACTTTTAATGGTGGCATAAATGCAGGGGCCCTCCCATCCGAACTGCAACCATGGCATGGGGGGTGTGAATGAGGAGTGATCACTACCAACGTGAGAGGAATCGGGTTCAAGGGTTGGAATATGTTGGATTTTCTCAGCTCGGCTCCCCAGACTCTGGCTTGCTTTCTCTCTGTCCTAAGCCCGACACACACCAAGTGTCCCCTTGGGCTTCCTGAGGCCGGCTTACACCTGCATCACCTCCATGTTCACCGCACCAGTGGGGCCTTCAGGTTTGCCTGCTTAGCAGGGGAATCATTTAGCACAAAGGGGCTTGCTAGGGTTCTTGAGCACTGGCAGGTTTGATCTCGGCTCAGCAACCTTCCTAGGCCGGGGCTGAGTGTGGGAAAGAAGAGACAAGCTCCAGGGCACCAGATTCCTTGGGGATCTTCACATGGCTCGTGGCGACCTTTTCCACCAGCTTCTTCCTCGTCCCCATCGTGCACAGGGGCTAGAGAAAGGGGGCAAAACTCCGTTGGTGCCAGTGCAGGTTAATTTTTTCTTCTTTTAGCACCTGTGTGGGACAGACTTAGGTGGAAACTGGCTGGGGTGGGAAGGTTTGAGCTGCCTTCACTACTGATGCTCAGTGCTCTCAATCCAGATCAGGGCCTTGTGTGCTTATGCTAAAGTTTTAAAAAATGGGTTCAGCATTTAGTTTAACTGCATTTAAGTTGTTTTTGCTAGCATTCGGTCCTGTTGGGGCAGCTTTCTCCAATTGGAGGAAAGAAAAGTTGGTGCACGTAGAAAGCTAGCATGTCAGGATGGAGGCTATCCTGGATCTTGTCTACCTAACATGCTAGTTTTCTGTGTGCAGGGATATATAGTTCCTCCTGCGAAATGACATTCAAGGGTCCCCTTGCCTACACCCTTCTGGACTAGTCCAGGCAGAGGGATTTCTTTTTAATTAGGAAGGATTGTTTTCATCAAGTGAACAGCCACCTGCAGTCTCCAAAATGCCACTGCCCAGGTTCATCACTCAGGTGAGACCCTGGCATCACAGAAGGTCCAGCACCAGCACAGAACAGGATGAGACACTCTAGCCCTGCAAGCCTGCGTGTGATCCAGGCAGCGCCGTGGTGTGTTGGGCCGGTCATCCTGCATCATAAAGACTTCAGGGCTAGAGAATCCTCAGAGGAATCCCAAGCCTGATGCATTTGAGGCTAAGAGAGGAGTTGTTCCTACCTGTGGACTTGCATTTCCAAGTTTAACCCTTGATGAGCCATGGCGCATGAGGCCCCAGTGGAATTGTGGCATGTCATCCGAACCCAGCTACCACGGGTTATTTGAGGGTTAAAGAAGGTCACATGACCTTGGTACAGACCTAGTACAGTAGTGGGATGCACTCCATGCTGATTATTAGTACAAGGATGAGGAACTTATGACCCTGTAGGTGTTGCTGGGCTACAACTCCCATCATCCCTTATCATTGGCTTTGCCGGCTGGGGCTATAGACAACCATAGTCCAACAATATTTGGAGGGTACCTGTTTTCCCGGACTACAAGTCACACTCTAGCGCTTCACAACCGTTAGCCCTCTTGTGGCCCTGGCTTGAATCTGTGCCTCAGCCCTCGCAATCCCATCCTGGTGTGATCTTTGGAAGAAATCATTTATCAGTGCTTATAATACATATTTTGTTTCATGATAATAAAAACTGGTACATTTTCTCCAGCTGTCCTGTGTATGGAGCATTATTTCAGACATAGCCAACTGTTCCCTGGCCTTTGCTTTAGGACATGGAAGGTGGGGAAAAAGGAAAGATCTTGACCCCAATTGTCAGAAATGAATGGCTTTGTTGAGAAAATGCCCAGTGGCTAAGAACACACTACTCCCACCCACGGGCATGTCAGAGTTTCCACTGTGGGTGGAACCAGAATTAATTCATCTTCCTTTTGCTATGGCTCTGGCCAGGCATTTGCCCGCAATACACTTAAGACTACAATGGCAACAGGGTTGGAACCTGCCTGCCTCACCTGCTGTCCCCAGACATCCCTGCATGCTGAGCTGCCTCCTAGATCGTCATCTATGGAGCACAGAAATCAGTGTAAGGTCTTGGAAACACCTTCTGGTTGAGCTCTTAAGACAAGAAATCTTGCTCAGGTAGAAAAACTTAACATTGTTCAAGAAAAGAAGCCTTCCAAATTAAGATACCATTACATGATAGCATTTGCAAATGCAAATTTAATATGGAGAAGTTCTCAAATGCACTCCCTTGCAAGGAATTGTAAGGAACGGGAGGGACTTAGAAACATAAACATGGAGCAAGTCAGAAGGGGCCTCCTGGGCCATCTAGTCTGACCCCTGGCTCCAGCCAGCTCCACTCATGACATGCCTACCATGTGCATGTCCAGCCTATCCTTGAACACCCTCACCAGTGGGGCCTCAACCACCTCCCATGGAAGCCCATTCCACACCCTCGGGGTCCTAACCTACAGAAAGTACTTCCTGGCATCCACCTAAAATCCACCTTGGTTCCCTGAGCATCGCTCCGTTGGAGCACGTCCTGCCCTCTTCTGGCCATCCAGTCCAATCTGATGTAGAAATCCAGAAAAAGCACGTTCCCGACAGATGGCGGTTGAACCTCCTGGAAGGCCTATGTCCACCTACCACGAGGTGTTTGCTGCTATTACCCTTTCGGACAGATCTCTGAAGGTTTAATGGGTGTGCTTTGAGTCTGCGGATGCTGAATTGTTGCCATGGTAGCAAAGCCGTGATTTTATTGCCCTCACCAAATTTCAGTGAGTAATCTGGCAGCGTGATGTGGGGCAGGGTATGCCCCCAGTGTGTGGGTGGACACAAAGTTGTGCCTGCACACTGTTCCCCTCTGCCTTAACCTGCAGATGGGCTACACAACACTCCATAGTCGGCAACTGCAAAAGCTGTCTGGCTATGCTTCACCTTGACATATCTGTAAACAATACAAAAAGCCCATTCCAACGGAAGAGGTTATTCAAAACCCTTGAATCTGTTCTGTTTTTTCTGAGTTTTAAATCTGAGTGTCAAATCAAGAATGCAAAAGCTTGCCAGGATATATCTTCTGCATGTTTCAAGCTGAGCAGCGCAAGATTGCTATATCCTTAAGAGATGTGTAGAAGATTAAATGTGAGCAGGCATCACTTCCATAAAAGTTACTCCTGCAGAAAGTCCCTCTTCTATACAACTGGTCTTCTTTTTCCTCTAGCTAATTTGGAAGTAGATCTGCTTTGGGGAGTCTCAGGTGCCATGGATGAATTACAGGGCTGCAAACCTGTCGAAATCCCTTTTCATTAACTAGAAATGCTTTATAAAAGCTTTAAATAAATAAAATAAAAATAAATACCCAAAGCCTCACTGGGTTCCTTACAAGAGGAAAAAGTCAGAACATGAATGTAATGTAGTAATAATAATTGCTAATTAAGTGGGCAACATATCTGCTCTAAACCGTCCCAAGACTTTTAAGTATGGGATGGTAGAGAAAGGTTTTAAATAAATAAATATGTATGTACTTTTAGTATACAGCAGGTATAATATAGGAGGCCCTTCCCTTCAATCTTCCACTGGAATGGATGGCTCTTCCAAGATGGTACCCATTGTCCTGGAGAAACTGGGATGATACAACATATCAATGCATATTCAAGGACTACCAAAGATTGCAATTTAAATGTGGGCTGTTTTTAGGGGTAGTTGTGCTGTGTGAAACCCAAAAGTGCTAACCATGGTTTGTTAACCATGAACAACATACAATCCATCAAGAAACCATGGATTCTCTTTGCATGGCTAATAAACGCACTTTATTGATTGACTTGATGGAGCTTTGTTCTTAGACCGATGGATGGAAATTGATAGGAATGCTGACTTTGGCTAAACATTTAGGGGAAAAAATTGTGAGTGTGGAAGTTCTGCTGTCAGACTGCCTTGAGAGGTAATGAGCTCTCCTTTGCTGGAACAATTTAAGCAGAAGTTGCTGGCCATCTGGCAGAGAGACTGTAGTCGTACCCTGCATTAAACAAGGAGACGGTCTAGATGACCTCCAAGATCCCTTCCAACCCTGTGATTCCTTGGTGAATGTTTCTGTAAACAGATGACAGTCTGAATTTTAATTTCCCGACATCACTCATCCCACCAGCAACAGCTCTGGTACCTTCTCCCTTCTCCGTTCCCAGTGGAGGAATATCTCCCTGGAAAAACTGAGGATCCCACTCTTTCTGTGGACCAGGCTGCCTTCTGTGTCTTGTAACCAGCTCAGCAGAAGTCGCTGCTGTTCATTCAG